CTACAGGCAGACTTGGACAGGTTGGACAAATGGGCAGAAAACAATAGAATGCGATTTTACAAGGAGAAATGCAAAGTGCTGCACCTAGGGAGGAAAAATGTCCAAGAGACCCAGTGCCTAGGAAACGACCTGCTCGGCAACACAGAAGCGGAAAGGGATCTTAAAGGGCGCCACACTTTAAGAGGGATGTGGATAACCTGGAGAGGGTCCAGAGAAGGGCCACTCATATGGTTAAGGGCTTGCAGGCCAAGCCCTATGAGGAGAAACTAGGGCACCTGGACCTCTTCAGCCTCCGCAAGAGAAGGTTGAGAGGCGACCTTGTGGCTGCTTATAAATTCATCATGGGGGTGCAGAAGGGAATTGGTGAGGCTCTACTCACCAAGGCACCCCTGGGGGTTACAAGAAATAATGGCCATAAGCTAGCAGAGAGCAGATTTAGACTGGACATTAGGAGGAACTTCTTCACAGTTAAAGTGGCCAAAATCTGGAACGGACTCCCAAGGGAGGTGATGCTCTCCCCCATCCTGGAGTCTTCAAGGGGAGGTTGGATGGGCACCTGGCTGGGGTCATCTGAGCCCAGCACTCTTTCCTGCCCATGCAGGGGGTCGGACTCGATGATCTATTGAGGTACCTTCCAACCCTAGCACCTATGAATCTATAAGCATGTCACTTGCCCCCCCCCCACCATCATATTCCCTCTTTCCCCCTTCACAGGCATCTTCTTTTTTGGAAATAGGGTAACCCTGCCATTAGTTAACCTTGCAGTGTCTTTTACATCCAGGTGTAAAGTGAGCTGCCCACACAGCTTTCCACTGAAAACAAATACTTCCTGTGGGACATTAAAGTAAAGAAAGCAGCTATTATACAAATCTGTTCTTAAGCCACTCATTAAGCACTATTAAGAATTATATTCAGTGTACAAAATGGCACATGAGTCTAACACAATGTGCATGTGTATCTGCATTTGGTGCACTGTGCCTTCCACCCCCTCAAAATCCAACTGGGCGGCAAGCAAGAAAATACACTTGGAAGCTGAATCTGCTCCCAATGGACTTCTCTCTCAGCTTTTGTGATGCAAAAAAAACTGTTAATGCAGGGCTTTCAGTTAATACCCTGCACATCCTATACAGAGAGGGAAAAGGCATAGCTGATTAATTATCCGATTTAAGCTTGATAAAGGGAGTCCCATTTAAGCTTGATAAAGGGAGTCCCTTTGCATAGACTAAAACTATTTGATTATCTTAAAGCTGATCTGGGCAGTGAATCAAACAGCCTCCCTCCCAACCAGCACATAACAATGCCAGTTTGCTGAAAAAGTGCAAAGGGCTGCCCTCCACGAAGGGCTGGATCCAGGATCCAAAGACTATCCCTGCCCCACTAAAGCCAAAGCACTTGCCCAGCACTCCCTCAGGCTCAGAGGAAGCCATCAAGTCCCTTCCTGCAGGGAAAGCTGGTGGGAGCTCTAGGATGCGAGACCCAAAGGCAACATGAGCAAATCAGAGTTTGGACTGGGGTTTTGCTGGCTGCAAATGCAGGGGCCAGGATATCGGCTGCAGGCTGCAATAAGCTGGAAGCAGAGAAAGGCAGGGGAACAAGTGAGCATGGCCCCAAAGGGAACCATTCTTCCTGGGCATAGGTTGCTGGAGGAACAGCACAGGAGATTCAAAAGCAACCAAGACACCAGCTACTTGTTTCTGCTGTATTTAGGGAAACAAACAAGGCTGCACCAAAAGTACACCCAATTTTTCCCCTCAACTCCTCATGAGAAGGGAAGTAATCCAAGATGACCTTGAATTATGCCAGCTGCTTGGGCCAAAGGGTGAACAGAGCACTTTGTTAGGCAACACCTTGCTCCTTTCAATCCTCAGTTATCAGCTGAGGAGGTATGTCTACACTGTAGGGGAAAAAGCCTGTTAACCCAAGCCATTCAACTCAGATTATAACACAGCAGCAGCAAGAACAAGCCAGTATGGATTTTGATTGGTGTTAGCAGCTCAAATGCAAATCCAGGGAAGCCTGGGGTTGAACCTGAACTGCTGACTCCAGTCAAGAACAGGTCTTTGGTTTCACTTTTCTTGTCCAGTATAGACATACCCTAATTCTGACAAAATGCCTGAGAAAATAGGGGTAGGTATTTAATTGATAAGGCAGTTAAGTCACAAAGAAGATAAAAGATTTTCTTAGGATTGAACAGTTGAATCACTACCACAGTCAGCATGGAAACTCAAAAGGTTCTGGCTCCCAGCCACTTGGAAAAAGAGATTATATATGGCAGGAAGCCATGGCAGTGAAGTCCTCCGCAAGTTCCTAAAACTGAAGGGATGAAAATGAGTCTAGTATTCCCAGAGTACTGCTCTCCCTCAGATTGCTACCGATTCTGAGAAAGCTACAGTGTGCACCTGTTACAGAGAAAAGCTGTGCAACTCCTTATGGATAAGAGTCCTATAGACCTGAATATTTACTTTTATTCATGTCTTGCAAGGATACCTGAATATTAAAAGAAAAATCTAGCATTCAGCATGTTTTGTGAAGAGTGGTATGAAAATCTAACCATGGGTCCATGAGCAAAGGAAGTCATATGGTAAAATCTGTATCAGACCATTTCTAAAAAGAGTTATTGTATTATATGGAAAGGACCATCTGTATTGCAGGAAAATTTGGCTACACCAAGACTCTGGATGGTCTGAAAAAAGCAACTACAGAGCACTGGATGAGTCTTTCAAGGACAGCTCTGGATAAGGGTTTTGCAATGTTATGTTACGAAGTTTAGACAACTGAAAACTGTCTGAACATTGTGGTAGATAGAATATCTTAGCAAAAACAAAAAAAGGTTGATTGTAACAAAATGCTTCACACTCCTTCTCAATACACTGCTTTGAAATAACGGTGAGAAGTCACTGGTTTCCAAAGGGACACACAGATTGTGAAGATTACTTCCCCAAGCCATGTTTCTCACAGATACTGTAGATAAACAAGACCTTACTGTGCCTAGGAAGGATGGTGAATCCAAACACTCCTAGAATAGGGCATGAATCCACACGTAGGCATATATGTGTACACATACACCCCCATCCACCCAGCCCCCACAGAAAAGCCGCCGCCACCTTTTGGCATCTTAAGCACTATGAACATAGGGGACTGCACCTGATGACCCAGGAGGTCCCTTCCAGCCCTATGCTCCTGTTTCACCACACCCAGAACAAACTCACTGCTGGGAGAGCAGCTGGATAGAGACTTTTGTCTATACTTACTGCTTTGCTAACTGCCATCCTCAGCTCAGCAACACCACCAAACTTCTTTTCCAGGGCCCTGGTGACTGGCACATAGGCCATCGGGATGACTTCGATGGGGATTCCCTTCTTCCACCGCTCTCCAAGGTTCTTGGAGTCTTTTCTAGGTGGAGACAATTGGACACAGGATTAGTCCATCATCATATATTTAATGTCAGACTGGGTTTCACTACACATTAACACAGTAAGGCAGTTCCTCTGGGAGAAATTCATGCTGGCAGGGCCAGCTCAGTTAAGTCCTCATAAAGCCACCAGTTTGAAATACTTGGGCAAAAATATCTCTGCTTAATTTTCAAGGGTCCTACAGATTTAAGCAGAAGACGGCAATTAACCCAACAGAAAGGTAATAACTAGCCAAGTCAGAAAAAAGGGCATATCAGCCATCTACATGAACTTGCAAAGACATGGGGGATGGTGAATTTTGAGGCGAGAGTGCTGCATAATTTGGGGGTTCTGGAGTTTTGTAATTAAAACCTGAGCCAAATTCAACTCGCAATGTGTTCAGCCCACTGAGTCAAGAGGCAACCTCCCAATGACCGCAGAAGCAGAACCATGAGACTACTCAACAAACAGGCTCACTGAATTTAACTATGGCTGAACTTGACCCTCTGTCTCCACCTTGTAGGGATAAAATCCAGCACATTTCACCTGTAGTCTGCAATAACAATGAAGCATTTGGCATAGCCTGCAACAATCTTCTCCTGTGTCAGACAGCCTCTGAAAGCAAAGTGAGAAAACAAACACATTAAATTGGACCTTGTCATGGCTGGATGGCTGATAATAAAAAAAACAGCTCCCCAGAATATGAGACAAGATGAGTTAAGCTCCTTGATCCAATGCAAGTTCAAGTGCTTCTAAAAGTTAGCAGACCAACAGCCCTGTACCATCAGGTTTTGGGGGGGGGGGGGGGGGGGGGGGG